CGGCTGGGGAGAGGTCAATAGGGGAGGGAAAGGAGACATATGTAATACTTTAAACAATAAAGAATTTAAATTAAAAAAATAAAGTATTCTATATTTAAAAAATTAAAATAAAATAAAAGACTGGTATTAAAAGTATTTTCTTGAATATTCTAAAATACAGTGGGGCCTTGACTTATGAGTGTCCCAACTAACGAGTTTTTCGAGATATGAGCCGTTTCTCGGCTGATTTTTTGCTTTGAGTTGCGAGCTAAAATTCGGGTTATGAGCCAGCTTCAGATACCCCACCGCTAGTTGGCACGGCAAACATCACAGTGAACGCCACAACATCAGCCCAGCATCACGTGTCTCACTCGTTCACTTTATGATTTGACATATGAGTAATTTGAGTTACGAGCTCCATCACGGAACGAATTAAACTCGTAAGTCAAGGCCCCACTGTATGCTAGTTTACAGTACCCTTCCAATTTTCAAGGCATTTGAGATATATAATTAGAGTTCCCCAAACTATTTTTAAAATACACTTTTGTTGATTCTAGAGAGAGGAAAGGGAAGGGATAGAGAGAGAGAAACATCAATGAGAGAGAAACATCATTTGGCTGCCTCCTGCATCCCGCCCCTCCCCCGCAACCTGGGATTAAGCCCTACCCAGGCATGTGCCCTGACCAGGAATCAAACCAGCATCCTCCTGGTTCATAGGTCAACACTAACCACTGAGCACACTGGCTGGGCCGAAATTTTTTGAGTGTATAGTTATTATAGGAATAAGTGTATTATAATTATTACAGGAATTCCTTTGACTTTCAGATTAAGAAAAAAATCCTTAGCAAACATAAGAGATATGATGGGCCAAGTTATTTTTCAGTAAAAATAATATATAACATCAATAAATTTTTGAACTAAATTCTTAAAAGCATTCAAAAAACACTTGTGCCTTCTAATTGCCAAAGAATGTATTTATGTGATGGAAGAATGCTGGGAGCCAGTCCATCCTTGCTGTTTCAAGGAACCTGGCATATATGGCATACTGTTCTTAATATTTTTGCTCACCTTCTTGGGGCTGTGTTTTAACCAAGGTCACCTCTCCAAGAAAGGTTGTTTCCCCAGGTAGAGATTTTCCCCTGAAGTTAGGGAGGGAATAAAACCCCTTCACTAAGTGCCAGGCGGGTAATTAATCTCTTTAACTACGAACAATCATGCTTAAGCTACATAATCTTTACTCCCTGGAATGGAGATAAGACCTAGAGACAGAACATGGCAAAAGATGCTGGACAGAACCTGACTACAGAACTTGGTTGGAGAACCTAGACAGAACCTGGCTGCAGAAGCCGGCTACAGAACCTGGCGACTGAACCTGGCCGGAGAACCTAGCGAGAGAACATGGCTACAGAACCTGGCTGGAGAACCTGGAGAACGTGGCTGGAGAACCTAGCAAGAGAACATGGACACAGAACTTGGCTGGAGATTGTGGCTAGAGATCCTGGCAAGGCTGCTGATCAACTGAACGCTGTCTCCATGTCATTCCTTCTTCGCCGACTCAGTCCACACCTTTGGGGACCCCTGGACCTGCTGGGGCTGGACCCCGGCAGAAGAAAATACAAGACAACTAATAGAAATAAAAATATCAAATTATTCTAATTCCTAAAAGAAAACATTTTCAAGTTAATAAATTATCATTGTTGTTTATAAAATATGCCTAACTTTTCATCTCAAATTCACTTTAAATACTTAACATATAATTTAATATAGAAAAATCACTAAATTATTTGTTAACATTTGTACAGCATTACTTCTCTGGATAGACAGATTTCACACCAAAATTTTAATTAATGCTGAAAAATTACTTAATAGTTGTAACCACAATGAATGATTAACTTATTAGTGGAGTACCAATTTATTCAGGAATTCATGTGGTGTAAGGACCAATGAAAGGACTAATATGATAATTTCTTACTGTGCAATTAATATTCCACTTAGTTGTTTTACATGTTTCCATGGATATCATTTGACCAGCAAAATATGTAACGCTTTCTCCTTTATCTTCCCCCCCCCCCTTTTTTTTGTTTGTTTGTTTTTAGAGGAACTCGGCGATTTGGAGAATTGGTTAGTAGAAGATAGAGAACCTAAGGGGAAAAAGTATAAAATGATAAATGATACTGAAGATCAAACCCTGTAGTCATCTCATTATGGTTATAACTAAGTATATTAATTTTTTCATTATTCACTTTTCTTTAGAGTATCAATCAAAGCCACTACCTTGAACCTGGGGTACATATACAATATATACACAATTTTCTACAAAATACTTTTAAAAAGTCATATTACATGTTAAATTTTTAGGAACAAAATACCTGTGCTGATTTGCATTTTGACTTCATGGAGGAAGAAGGGAATAATATTCAACTAGGGAAGCTTGTACTGATCATAATAAGCTCTTAGAGTAAAAATAAATAAAAAGGTGTTCCTTTCCCTTTGTACTTATCATAGACTACCCAATGTGCTAGAGCATTCAGTATGAGAAACACTGCCAGTCGCTTTAAAATCTGACTTCAGAAAGAGCTAATGAGAAAGCACATTGGAAGGTGAGGCTTCATCTTTGTTTTCCAATAAGTGATCTCGGTTTTTCTTCTTACAGAAGTTTAAATAAGTTTGTTACCAATCTATGTAAACCATTACTGTTTTTAGCTTTCAGGTAAAGTCTAGCACTTCGTTTATGCAAAGTCTAAGAAAAATCAATAGGGATAATCTATCTTAAACGTGACATCATCCATCCAAGTCCATGGTACAACCTTTCACCTTCAGTACTATTTTAATGCTGTACTATATTTAAAAAAAACCACTATAAATGGAAGGAGGGAGATAACTAATATAAATTTTCATTGACACGGAAATGGGTAAATAAATTGTGGTGTAAAAATATAACTAGCATATGACCCAGCAATTCCATTCCTGGGTATTTATTTGAAGAAATAAAAGCATTAACTTGAAAAGACATATGTACCCCCATGTTCTTTGCAGCATTATTACAATAACCAAGAAATGGAAACAACCTAAATGTTCATTGGTGAATAAGTGAATAAAGAAACTACATATAATGGAATATTATTCAGCCATAAAAAAGAATGAAATCTTGCCATTTGTGACAATATGGGTGTACCTCAAGACCATTAAGCTAAGTGAAATACGCCAGACAGAGAGAAAGACAAATAATGTGATCTCATGTGTAGAGTCTTTAAAAATAAGAAACAGTCTCACACAGACAGTGAACTGATTGGTGGTTCCCAGTGGCAGGAGGTGGAAGGTTGGGAAAATAAGTGAAGGGGTCAAAAGGTACAAACTTGCAGTTACAAAATAAATAATTCCTGGCAATGTAAAGCACAACACCATGACTATCACTGATAACACTGCATTGCATATTTGATAGTTGCTAAGTAGATCTTAAAAGTTCAAATCACAAGAAAAAATTTTGTAACTACGTGTGGTGACGGATACTAAATAGACTTACTGTGGTCATCATTCCCCAAATGTATACAAATATGGAATCATTATGTTGTACACCTGAAACCAATATAATGTCCTATGTCAGTTATACCTCAATTTTAAAAACTGTGGTATAATGACAGAATAAAACATAGCTGTTAAAATGAATGAACTATAAAGCCTCAGGTATCAACCTGTAAAGATTTCAAACGCATAATGCTGGGGGGGGGGGGCGGTTAAAAGCAGTTCTACAATAATTCTTTAAAAATACCAGCTATGTAAACAGTCACAACACTTCATGGATGCATGACAGCTGCAGTGAACAGGAAGATGGTGACTGGAAGCATACAAGCAAAGCTGCCTGGTCTCTCCCTCTGGACTTTGGAAAGAGACCTGGCTTCAGTGTTAATCACCTATCCATGGGTCAGTGCTAGGAGCTTTTTGTTTGTTTGTTTCTATGACTTTTATTTTTATGTTTTAAATCTTTTTTTTTCCAATTACAGTTGATGTACTTTATTTTTTTAAAATATATTTTATTGATTATTTTACAGAGAGGAAAGTCGAGTGATAGAGAACCAGAAACATCGATCAGCTGCCTCCTGCACGCCCCCCACTGGGGATGTGCCCGCAACCAAGGTACATGCCCTTGACCAGAATCGAACCCCGGACCCTTGAGTCTGCAGGCCAACGCTCTATCCACTGAGCCAAACCGGTTCTGGCTGATGTACTTTATTATATCAGTTTCCAGTATATACCCCAGCTAGGAATTTTGATAACGCTTTTTAATCTTCAAAAGAGTTACAAATATAGGACCTCCCTTTGGATGTTTTGCAAACCAGCGGATTCATTTATTCACCACATATGTGGTACTTCTGTCTATTTCCTTGATGCAAGATGGGACTGAGAAGAGCATCAACCTAATTTCGTCAGAAGGAAGCAATGTCTGTAGAGGGAAGCGTGCTGCCTGGCATACAGTAAGTGCCCAGAAAATATCAGGTGCTTCTGCTGGCTTGACTGGTTACCAGGCAGGATTCATATGCCTGATCCCTTGGGTGAGAACCTGATGGTGACTGATAAACAGCCAGGGAGTGGCTCAATTGGCTGAGCAGTCCTGTGCTCCCAAAGGTTGCCAGTTCGATTCCCAGTCAGGGCACAAACCTGGGTTTCGGGTTCGTTCTCAGGTTGGGGCACCTTAAGCGAGGCAGCCAATAGATGCATCTCTCTCTCTCTCTCTCTCTCTCTCTCTCTCTCTCTCTCCCTCCCTCCCTCCCTTTCAGCACGTCCTCCCTTGTCCTCGGGAAAGGATAAAAAAAAGAAAGAAAAGAAAAACACGGAGACTCAAAGTCTGTGACGTTCTCTGAATTGCACTGAATCCATAAACCCGAGAGTCCCGACAGTCTCAGAGAAAGACTTTCCAAGATCGCCCTGAGTTCTCCCTGGAGATCCAGCGCCTGGCGTCTGGCTGGTCAGGCTGGCTGCCGGAGGGGCGGGGTGGGGGTGGGTGCGTGGCTGAGGGGGGCGGGCGGGAGGGTTGCAGTGCTGGGATTACTGCGACTGCGACCGGTGGGACGTCACCTGCTCAGAGCACCGTGGGGCCAGCGGACCTCAGAGCCAGGCTCTCCGCGATGGGCTCCCTAGTGGCGGCGGTCTGGAGGGTGCTCCATCCCAGCTCTCTCCTGCTGGGTGCGGTCGTCTTCCTGCTCCTTGCCAACTTCTTCAAAAACCGGCTCCCAAAGAACTACCCACCCGGGCCCGCGCGGCTGCCCCTCCTTGGGAACTTCTTCCAACTGGACTATAAGCAGCCGCACCTGTCCGTTCAGAAGGTAGGAGAGGGCACAGGTGCTGGGTGGAGTCCTGACCCCGACCTGAAGGCAGGACCATGGCGGGGACCCAGGGATGGAGAGCAGGGCACCTGACTGTAGTAACTAATGTGTACTGCATATTTGGAAGTTGCTAAGAGAGTAGGCCTTAAAAGTTCGCATACACGAGGCTTTAGTTCATTCACTTAATAGCTATGTAGTTTTCTGTCATTACACCACATTTTTTTAAACTGTGGTATAATTGACATAGAACATTGTATTAGTTTCAGGTATACAATATAATGATTCCATATTTGTATACATCTGGGAATGATCACCACAATAAGTCTCATTAGTATCTGTCATCACGCATAGTTACAAAATGTTTTCTCGTGATATGAACTTTAAGATGTACTCACAGCAACTTTCAGATATGCAATAGAGCGTTATTACCTATAGTCAGGATGCCGTGCTTTATGTCCCCGGGACTTACTACTTTATAGCTCCAAGTTTGTACCTTTGACCCCCTTCAGTCATTTTGCCAACTTCTCACTTTCACTCTCTGTTCCCACTACACCCTGAGGTCGCCAGTAAACTCGAAGGCCCTGGAGCCATCTCAGGGTCTTGTCCTGGAATCTTACACAATGCATGGAAAATTCCCTCCCCCACTCTATAGCTTCCTCACCTTGGCTGCATTCCTTCGGCTCCAAGTCATTTTCCTTTTCTGAAAGACAGGGAAATTCATTACTGCCCTGGAGCACTTGTGAGATTAAATAAGATAAAACATGAAAGGTGCTCACCATGGTACCCAGTGAGCGTGGCTGCTGTGACCAGCGGTGCCATCCTCCGGCACATCCCCGCACTCCCGTCCTCTCCATCACCAGGAGCGCACACCACGTCTTTCTGCACACAGAGCACCTTCATTCCTCCAGGCATTCCTCCAGGCGCCAGGTACCAGAAATCAAAGTGCCGTTCACATTGCTGCCCTCCTTCTCCCTCACAGCACCCTTGGAGGGAGGGAGGCTCCAAAAAGTGAGACCGTTTACTCAGGAGCCCAGAGCTGGTGACCAGATTGCTAAGATTCACACACAGCCCCAGAGCCGAAGGGCTTTTCTCACACCGGGCCCCACCTGGATAAGGAACGTTCTGTCTTCTCACACGTGTTGAGAAAGGAAGTGTTCTCTTTGGCGTAAATGATATGATTTACTGAAAAGTCCATGCTTGTCAACAACAAAACATACATTAAAAAATGAAAAGAATAAAAAAGTCCGTGCTTGCTACACCAGATGTGCACTACATGGGTCTCAGCCATCCTGGTTAGTCACGTGTACTGAATTCTCTCCCTTTACTAGACTCTAAGACGCGTGAGGTTAGAGGCCTTGTTTATTTTATTGAAGCGATATCTTCACAACTCACTTCAGGACAAGGCTAGATGCTCACTCAGTTCTTACCGGCTTACTCTGAATGAATGTTTTGTAAGGTATGTCCACGCTCAGTAGTAGTGACTTGCACCTAGGCCTGGTTGAGAGGAGGAGGAGAGGAATCAAGGCATACACCAGGCCCTCCATACAGCCCCCAGCTCCACTCTCTTTCTTTCCTGGACACAGAGATATGCGTGCTCAACTGTGACTGTTTACTTTTCAGTATGTGAAGAAATATGGGAACCTTTTTAGCATGGAGATTGGTGCCTGGTCTTCAGTTATAGTAACTGGATTGCCCTTAATCAAAGAAGCCCTTGTCCACCAGGGTCACAACATTTTGGACCGTCCCATGTCCCCTGTTCGAAAACGGATCTTTAAGACAAATGGTAAGCTTCTTGACCAATGTTGGATATGGATGTCTTAATATTTTTAAGGCTTGTTAGCCATGCCTCTGACTGTAATTCTCCAGCACACCCCAGAGACCAAGCCCATTATAGAACTCTTAAAGGATGTCCCAAAATTCACGCAAGAAGTAATTTTGATAGAAAACACAGGTTTATAATTAAAAATTGTAAATTTTTTATTGATTCATAAAGTATACAGTATAGGGTTATGTATGGAATAGAATATCGGGTAAATGGCCTCCACGGCACAAAAGATTCTCTCTCCCTTCCTCTCTGTAAAAAATCAATAAAATATATTTTTTAAAAAAAGAGTGCATATGTGCCAGCAAAGCCGTGGAGGAGGCCATTTACCCGATGTGCTATTCCATACATAACCCCATACTGTATACTTCATGAATCAATAAAAAATTTATAATTTTTAATTATAAACCTGTGTTTTCTATCAAAATTACTTCTTTCATAAATTTTGGGACACCCTTTACTTTAAAGAAAGCTTGATGCTCACATTTCCCCATGAAGACACTCTCAGAGGATCAAGCAGGGCCAGTCCTAATGACAGGAATTTGGAAAAACAGCATCTTCCGTGTGTGGTGTGCGGTGTGCATTCACTCACTCTGGATGCTTTGATAAACACGTAACCCTTCATTCCATGTGAGCAGAGGAGGCAGCGATATGTTCGCTCTTTCTGGTTTTCCACTGCCAGTCTCTTCCCCTAGGAACGTGGATGTGCCTCTGCTTCCTTCTGCTGCTTTTGTGATTTCTTCTTCTTCTTGCCTCTAGTTCCTTATGCTTTATCATTAAGGTGTCCACAGGCATCTCAAGCCTTCCAGTCTATGTTAGATCAGTTTGGCATAAATAGTTTAAATGATCATTAAATAAAGTGAAACATTTAAAAATCTAAATGAGAATGTGTTGCTCTACCAGAGCACCATATTTTTCAAGTGCTCCCCAAGTTCTCTTTGAAATAGTTTACTGCTTCACTCTCCATCCATTTACTCTATTTATTATCTGCAATGTGAAGCACAGTGCAAGGCACCAGTGATACAACAATGAGCAGAACAGATAAAATCCATGTTCTTATGTAAGTCAAATTCTATTCAGAGAGAAAGACTATCAACTATCCATAATAATTTAAAGCCTTTATGTAGATGAGGGCAGATGCACTTACTAGGGGTATCTAATCTAGTCCTGAGATTCAGGAAAAACAAGTGTAAGTAAATGACAGTTAATTTAATAAAGTGAAGAAGCAATCAGGCAGAGGGACTAGAATATGAAAAGTCCCTGAGGTGAGAAGGACAGTGAACCTGAGGAAAGGAAAAAGTGGCCAGTGTAGCAAGCACAGAGACTCAATGGAATAATTAAATGGAGTTGAAGCTGCTGAGCTTGGCCTGGAATAATTTATTCAAGATCTCAATAAGGATGTTGTTTTTTATTCTAATAACAATGAAGTCCTTGATGGTTTTCAGTAGAGAAAAGAATCATCATATTTACATTTTAAAGCCTTATTTGGGTTGCAATGTAGAGAATAAAATAAAGGAAGCAAGAGACTGGTACAGCATTTTAGGTTAGAGCAGTGGTCGGCAAACTGCGGCTCACAAGCCACATGCGGCTCCTTGGCCCCCTGAGTGTGGCTCTTCCACAAAATACCAACTTCTGCGCATGGGCCACGAAATTTCAATCGCACTGTACGTGCACGCCCGCACGTGGTATTTTGTGGAAGAGCCACACTCAGGGGCCAAAGAGCTGCATGTGGCTCGCGAGCCACAGTTTGCCAACCACTGGGTTAAAGAAAATGGTTGCTTGGACCAGAGAGGTGGCGAGAAAGGTCAGTAGATTAAAATGGGATAGTGGCAGAGAAGATACATGGATTTAAGGTATTCAGGAGGTAAATCCTAAGACATGATGACCCCTGAGGGAGGGACACTGGAGGGAGACTGACCTGTTGATGCAGACCCCCAAATGGGTGGAGTGATGGAAGGAAGGAACATTTGGAGGACAAGGTGTGTGGTTAGGCTTGGGTGGGGAGTTGCATGGAGAAAACCATACATTCAATCACGGACAGGCTGAGACTGAATGCTAAATTGGCAAAGTCAAGCAGACACCTGTATATGTGTGTCTGGAGCTCAGGGACAGAAATAGAGGGTCACTGTCAACAGATGTTTGTATAGTGAGATGTAGTGAGATGTCCCAGGAATGGAGTAAGGGTACGAAGAGAAGACTTCAGCTTGAAGAATTCCAGCATTTCAGAACTTGGTAGGAGATAAACTAGCCAGAGATATGGGAAGCTCTCTGCTTTCAGAGATTAGGGGACAGTTCTGGAGAGTGCAGTGCCCTGAGAGGAGAGAGTTTCAGGAAGAAAGGGTCAGGTGCTGCTGAAAGACCAAGTAAGGTGAGGTTGCAAAGCATCCCTGGAATTTCCTGCGAGGAGGGCCATTTTATGGAAATGGTGGAGGACGGAGCCAAGGGTGAAAAGGAATTGAAGAGTGAGTGCTCTGGAAGTGCAGAGGTGACAGGAGTATGTTATGAAAGGAAGGATGGTCTGTTGAACACAACAAGATGTTGTCTTTGCCTTTGCCTGCACAGGATATCCACTCCTCTGCTTTCTTCAGGCATGTACTCATCTATTAAGGTCCAGCAAATCCTTGCCTCTTTACAAACCTGGGTTTTCTCCCCTGGGACTGCATTGTTAGTGTGCAGCGTAACATAAATACATAAATCTACCTATGTGGCTGGCAATCAAAGCGTGGGCTGGGCACTCAGGGATGCACACTTGAATGCCTGTTCAGCTGCTTACTACCTCTGTGTGTGACATTGCACACATTACCTTATCCCTTGTGCCTCAGTTTTCTCATCAGCAAAAGTGGGAAAAGGGGTGATAATTGTATCTACCTCAGATTTCCTGTGAGTACGAAATTACGTAATGCATAAAAAATGCGCATGTGCCTGGCCTTGCAAACCGTCAGTACATGTTGGCAATTATATTCATTGCTCTGGGAGGGCTCCTCTGAATACTTTTCCCTGCCTAATGCCCTTTCCCCTTCTGCCATCTGATACAAGTCCCTGTACCCGTTGTTGGCTTTCTTTCATTCAGGCTTAATCATGTCCAATGGCCAGGAATGGAAGGAGCAGAGAAGGTTCACCCTGACAACACTGAGGAACTTTGGTTTAGGAAGAAAGAGCTTAGAGGAACGCATGCAGGAAGAGGCCTACCACCTCAACCAGGCGATAGAAGAGGAGAACGGTGGGTATATTTCCTAGGTCAGCTGCTGGAGACTGTGGCTCATTCATTCACTGAACAGATACTAGTTAGTACTTACATGCCTGTCCTGTGCCCAGCAATGTGTTAGGCACTAAGGATATAACTGTACAACTAACCATGGCCTTGTGCTCATGGAGCGCTAGAATTAAGCAAAAGAAGACAGGCATTAAAGACATTACCGATTATGCCCTGGCTAAGTGGTTAGAGCATCAGCCCATGCACCAAAGGATCATGGGTTCGACTCCCAGTCAGGGGCACATGCCTGGGTTGGGGGTTTGCTCCCTGTTCCCCGGTCGGGGCACGTGCAGGAAGCAACCAGTTGATGTGTGTGTTCTCTCCCTCCCCACCCCCCGCCCCCACTCTCTCTGAAAAGCAATAGAAAAAGTATCCTCTGGTGAGGATTAACAAAATACAAAAGACATTACTGATTTTTTTTTTTTTTTGAGAATAAAGCAAGTTATTCAAGTAGAGGAAAAGAAAGAGGCCAGGGCACCGGCACCACTATGAAAGAAGCGAAAGTACAGCCTGCTTCTGGAAGGGTGGATGTGGGCCAACTTGACAGAGTTGTGCTGCTGGTCAGTTAGTTATTGGCAGTTTGTTTCCAAGGATGTGGGTGGGTCTGGGGATTGTCTCCAAACATTGTGGTGTCAAATTCTGACTCCGCCTTCTGTTTGGGAGGGGGCGTTGTTATTGTCATGACTCCCAGGACCGTGCAGGAGCCTCCAGCCATTAACTATTTCCCTTTAATCATTCCTGGAAGTGTGGGCTCCAGTGAGAGGATGTCAGCTCCTGCTTCTGCAATCCACTTGTCCGGATTTTTTCCTAACTTCTCTTCCTCCCCCTCTCCCCCTCCCGCTTCTCCTTCTCCTCCTCCTCCTCTTCCTCTATCTCCTTCTTCTTGCAGAAAACATAAGAAACTCTCCCATGCCATTGTAGAATGTTTTGCCTCTCCTTGCAAAATAGGTTGCATGCCTCAGAATGTTTCAACCCTTCTTCTCTCCCTGTTGTGTAGCTGGTAATATGTACATCAGTTCGACATTACTGACTTTAAACACTGGCCATCAGTTTGATTTCCCAGGCATTAAGTGAGCACTTGCTGTCAGATCCCGGGTGGGTGCTATGGCCAGAGCCTCAGATGTGTTTCTGTGCTCGTTATGTCATACATCACATGTCATGTAGACTCTCAGTAGAAAACAGAAACAAAGCAAGCTCAAGGGTCCACCTTTTCTTCCACCTCCAGGACAGCCTTTTAACCCTCACTTCAAGATCAACAATGCAGTTTCCAACATCATTTGCTCCATCACCTTTGGGGAGCGCTTTGAGTACCAGGATAGTCAGTTCCAAGAAATGCTGAGGTTGCTGGATGATATCATAGGTATGGAGGTGTCAGTGTGGACCCAGGTAAGGGGTTCTCTTTTCATATCTTGGTTAGGGATATCGGGGCTGATGTCAGACACAGATGTTTTTATAAGCTACACTATAACCTTTTCAAACTGACTTCAACACCAACTTGTTTGAAATCAACTAGTGCGACTCTAGTGTTTTTGGTATTTTAAAATATTTATTATATACAAAGAACATTTCTAACATTCATGTAAAGCAATAAACTTTACATAGCATACACCTGTGCACCTATGTTGTTTTATTTAAAAAGGACAGTAGTGCCATTGCCTTTGAGTTCCCCCCCATCCCTTGTGTCCCTCCCTAAGCCAGCCATCTCAGACCTCCTCTCTCCATCGGCCGGCTGTTTGAGATTCATTTGTGTTAGTTGCCCTTTTTATAAAATTCTGAATAGCATTTCATCTTATGAATATGGCATTTTTTGTCACTTTATGCTCTATTGATATACACTTGGATGGTTTCCAGGTTTTGAATGTTATGAATAAAGCTGCCATATACATTCTAGTACAACTGTTCATGTGGACACATCCATTCATTTCTCTTGCATGTGTAAACCTGGACATAGAAGATGCTGCCTAAAAGTTTCCAAAACTGTTCCACTGTTCACACACCCATCAACAGGATATTATCAATCTAATTTCATAGGGTAAAGACATTTGGGGTTCAAACCTCACCCCTTTCTTGGTGGACCCTGTGCTCCATTTTTGTCCCTGGGGGTCTGTGAGTCTGTCAGAAACTCTGTTCAGCTTCTTGGTCTTAAACCAGCGCAAGTGTTGAGGTCACCTCTCTGGTATCTAGAAGTGGATTTATTTATTTTTTATTTATGACAAGCATCTTTGCTTAGAGCTTTAAGGCTCCATCGTATCAAAATGGATAAAGAAGTTATCATGCGTCCTAGCATATGAAAAGGCTATAGTGAATGTGAGCTATTATTATTATTATCAAAATTATTTTTGAATTCCTAGTGCTCACTTCGTCATGGTAGTCCCCAACCCAGTGATTCCACTTTTGGTCTTCCTAATAAGAGAGAACCCAGGAAAGGTGAGAGCTCAGAGGGTACCCCGCTGACTTTCTCCAGGGAAAATAAATGCCTGGAAGTACGGGGGGGGGGGGGGGGGGGGGGGGGAGATAAGCATTTTTTGGAGCCCAAAAATAGACGAGGTGCCTTAATGGATAACTACACATACTTGATCTAAGTTAATTTTCACAACAACCCTTTAAAGATGAAATGAAGCATCCTAGTGTGTGCAGGCAGACATGGCAGTGTGTGGGAAAAGCCTAATAGTAGTCTACTGGCTCTGTGTTAAGTTCCAAATGGATTGCATGTCATTGAGTCACCAGAACAACCCTGAGGCCCACGGGCACCAAGTTAAACAAAAGAGCAACAAATTATA